ATGGATGGATGGATGGATGGATGGATGGATGGATGGATGGATGGATGTCATATTTATTTTATCACCATCTTCATTGTCCTTGTGTTTTACAAACGTGTGCAGATGTTGACATTGCCTACTGAGTAGCAACTGAAACAAACGGCTTCATGACCCAAGACTGTTGGCAAAGAACATCTTTGAAGCAAGAAAACAACTTTTTATTAAAACCTGGAACAAACTGACATTTAAAGACATTTATGGTGCAGTTGTTCAGCTCAGTCTTAGTGTTTATGCCAAACACGCCGAGACCTTCAGGCATCAGATTTATCTTTTCTTTTGATGCATCATAACTTTTTTTACTGTCTGAGAAGTTTGCTGAGCAGTAAATTACTTTATGGACACCATTTGTTACCGCCATTTCAAAAATGTTTTTTGTGCCACATGAGAACCTCTTAAATATAGTGAGGTGTAAAACTAGAAATGAAGAAATGTATGAACTTTCTTCTCTAAAGCCCAAACAGAAGATATGACGATCGTTTGTTATAAGACAGGGTGACCAAACGTCAATGTGCACTGTTCACAACCAAACTGCAAGTTTGGATGTATTTTATTGGATAATAATTTAAAATTCAAAAGTTGTGGAGTAAGTAGCAAATCAAAAACTGTGACTTAAACAGAAATGCAAACTCATGCATGGAAGCACCATCAAAAATCAACCATTGCATCAGAAAGCTGCAAAACCTTCACACTGAGAGAATAAATATTAAGATGGACAAGCCAGCCAGGTTCCAGGGATTGATATTTCCTGTGAAGTAGAGGATGAGGTGATATTAAAAGAGGACAGCCTTCAGCCAAAGTTCTGGGCAAAACATAAAATCATTTTGATGAACTGCACACAGTGAAAACGTCCTCACCGCTTGCCACTCTTGCATTATTCCAAAACAGCCTTTTTTAATGTTAATTAAAGTCAGCCCGAGCCGGTTACATTATGTATAAGAATTACAGCGCAGAGGAAATACGAGGCTCTCTTGAGCCGCCCATGAAATAGACTCGCAAGATCAATGATGGTAACAGCTATTGATCTCAGTGATTAAATAGGTGGCAGGCGAGGGGGTGGGAAATGCATCAAGCAGCCAAGGAGAAAGTTCAAGAAGGCCGGTCCGGCCAAGACTTGGAGGTAGAAGCTCAACTGTAATGAGGTGGATGAAGTTAACGAGTATTATGAGGCTTTCGTTTCATTCATTCATTCATTCATTCTACCACCTGCATAATATGAAATAATAATTAAAATTTAAACCATTTTATCTAAAAACGATGCAGAAAAACTGGTTCATGCATTTGTCACGTCTAGACTGGACTATTGCAGTGGTTTGTTATCTGGGTGTCCAAACACTTCTTTAGTCTTCAGTCTTTCAAAATGGTGCTGTCAGAGTCTTAACTGGGGTTACTGGGAGAGATCATATCTCTCGTTTTAGCTTCTCTTCAATGGCTCGCTGTCAAGTATTAGATTCAAAATTTTATTTCTAACCTACAAAGCCCTCAACAACCTAGCTCCATCTTATATTACAGCTGTTATTGTTCCATATTTTCCTAACAGAGCACTTGCTCTCAGACTGCTGGCTTACTCGCGGTTTCTAGAGTTTCCAAAAGCAGAATGGGAATAAAATCTTTCAGTTATCAGGCTCCTCTCTTGTGGAACCAACTTCCAGTTTCAGTCCATGAGGCTGACGCATCGTCCAGTTTTAAGACTTTCCTTTTTGATAAATCCTATAGTTAGGTTTGGCTTGTTAAG